CTGGATAATTAGCCAGGAATTAGGGTTTCTATTACAGCCAGGAGGCTACTCCAGCTGATTTATCACCTGAATAATTTACTGTGATTGAAAGGAAATTAAAACGAACTCCATTTGACAACTGTGCACTTTTATGGGCTCCAGTGAAGACTCAAAAGCCAAATTAATAGCCTCGTGTTGCTTAATAGTCTACTGAGAGTAAATATGGGAAGGTTTTTCCTCTCCCGACATGCTTTCTTAGGCTGGATTTTAGAGTTGGTTTTGTTTCTGGTGGTTTTTTTTCTTCCCACCAATGAAGCCATAGCCTGAATCAGAAGTTGTTTCAGCTGATAGAAGAGGAGCAATAAAAACTGCAGACCTGCCTTCCAAGCCACTTTTTGCTCCACATTTTCTTTTGATCAGAGATATGCTCCATATTTTTCACTGTTACTGAAAACCATGTAGTTTTGGGAAGAAGTAAATAAACAGTGGCTCTACTTTTCTCGTTACAACTTTCAGAGTAATTTCAGAAAATCCCCAGCAGCCCCATCCACCCAGACACAGTTTCCCTTAGGGAGAAAACCACATTAATTTTATGCCAGAGACCAGGAGCAAGGTCCTACATCTCATTCCTTCCTTCTGCTTCTCTAATGATTTTCTGAGTAAATGAGTCAAATCAGAAATGAAATGTAAGTCCTGAAAAATAAGTCCTACTTTCTCCCTTTTTCTTGGACACTCCCTGCTATTCCTGGAGATTAAAATCCCATGCTGTAGGAAGGGCTGTGCATCTCCCTGCGTGCTCCTCCTTTGGTCAGCTCAGCTCCTTCATTACAGCACTTTCTGAGGTCAATCAAACGTAACTAGCTGTGCACAACTTTTTTACTCTTTCTGATTTACTAGTAATTCTTTCGGCGGTGTTGGACACGCGGAATTCAGCTGCCTGTATTTATCTCCAGGCTTAACAGTACTGCATCTCACAAGTGAATATATTGCTTCATGTTTTTCAGGTTAGCTCCCACCTGCAGTATCCCTGTATCATTCAGAAACGAATTCAAAAAGAGATGATCAATTCAGTTCTAGCTAGAAGTAATGTGAAAGCATCAGCAAAGACGAGGGAATTATCTGCTATTATCAGCAAGTTGTTCTCTACTAATTCAGTGACCTACACAGTGTTCAACCTGGTCACATCATGCTATGCTTCATTATGGCCCCGATCTGAAGTCTGTTGAAGTCAATAGAAATATTGACCGGCTGATGTGTCGGCTGCACGGTGCTGCTGGTTGACACTCGTGAGCAGAATGCCATTGCAGTGATGGCACTGCAAACACACACCTACATGCAGCTCAGAATCATTTCCCAGAAACACGTGAGTGTTCTGCCAACATCTCCAGCCAGTGCAAATCAATTGTGGGCTGTTTGCAGATGAGATGAGCACAAAAGGGGACAAAAGTGATGGAAAGGCATTCACTTAAACATCAGTTACTGTTCATAGCAGGATTCTTGTAGGATAGAGTAAGGCCAGAGTGTGACTATCCTCACATTACACTCCAGTAACACGTAGATACCAGTGGACTCGGTTTGGAAGGGACCTCCACCTTCCCATCTCACAACTTCTTGACATCACAGCACAGCATTCACCTGCCATTAAATGTTTGTCATGCACTGCACGTGTGGGTATTACATAGCAGTCCTGCAAAGTGCACTCGGGTACATGTACGGCTGTATCACAGGGACACTAGGTTGCTCGATGAGACACATAATGCCCTAATTCCATCCCCTGACAAATCTTTAATTATATCCCAACAAATCTTTAATTATATGAACATATGGTGGGATCCCTGCCTCACCCTATGCCTACAACAGACTTTGTTTCTGAATGAGGTACTGTCTGCCATAGATTCTCTTGTCACTGCCTTTCCTCTCAGCACTGCAATAGCCTGTAGTCAGAGGTAAGTATTCATTCCCTGTGGTCTTCTTTGTCTCAGTCATCTTTTACAGTAGATATGAAAACTCAGATTGCCAAGTGCACAACGTGTTTGGAAGTAAGAGCTAACCTGCAGGTCTGCATTTCACAGAAGGGAGCTGAAGAACAGCAACGTTAAAAACAGCAGAGTAAAGGAAACAGAATGGGTGCACTCAAGGTGAAGGCTTGGGCAGTGGTGAGCAGGCACTCTGACTTTGGACATCAAAGCCCTGCTTATGTAAGTGACAATCCACAGTTTCCAATAAACGAGCCCAAAACACCCAGAAAATAAATCAGAAAGAATTCAGGCAATAGGTGCCAGCCTTCAGCTGGAGGCAGAACGCGTTCAGACTGCAGATGTTCAGCAATGTGGAATGGACTTTGTTCTCCCACATCACTGCTCGCTCTGACACAGGGACTGTGCCCAGCTCACAAAGAAGAAAAATTAGAGAAGAACAGCGAAACAGAGAGGAAAATATACTTTCTTGTCTAAAGAAACACGAGTCTTCCCGTAAAGTACCTGGAGCCCTCTTCAGCTGACTGTCACAGGGACCAAGAAGTTTTTGTGCCTAAACAACATCCGCAGTGTTCCATTTGCTCCTTCTGCATGTTTCTAACACAGTAGATAGGCAGTGGATCAGCACTCCTGTTAGACTCCCCACTCTTTATGAGGAGCACCTTTTCCTTAATTTCCTCTTCAGAAGCAGCTAAGGACTCCATGCATCCATTGCTGACCTAGTTCCTAATGCACTGACTTCTGAGTTCAACCACATTCTGGACTGACAGATTCTGAATGCGGATCACAGTTCACTACAGTCATTAATGGGAGAGACAACTCTGGTTTTCCAAGTCACGTGGTAATGCTTCCATCTTCATCTAGTGAGAGGTATCCCCTCCTATGGTCTGTGCATTGGAATTAGATGATCTTTAAGATCCCTTCCAACCCAAAACATCCTGTGATTCTAGGATTCTGTATTTTCTTTCTAACTGATTTTTTTTGTCTCACTAATTGGTCCAGACAGTCTCTCCACTTTGGTTAAGTTTCACGACAGCTTTGCTTTACTACCAAAGAGGTTAAACATGACTGCTTACTAAAGCAGTGCAGTTCATATCACATCCTTGAGAATCAGACATTTGTATTAATTATGCATGTTCCTGTTGAAAATATACTTTGCATGCCACCAAAAAGCAAATCCCATTTCGAACAACCACGAGCCCTTAATCATAGCCAAACCTCCCAAAAGCAAATGGGAATGTTAAAGGGAATGTTAAAGAAAATGACTAGCAAACTCCATTTGTAATTAAAAATGCCTAAACAAAACTATTCTGCTAAGGACCTTTCATATACTACAGTATCTTTCCCTCAGAAATATGTTTCTCAGCATCTGTTTGTCTTCTCAGTCTGTGCAGAAAGTGCCCTTTTTACCTGATCAGTAGAAGCATATCCCCAGATTTGATGCTCTGGTTGCACAGCCATTCCAGTTACAACTGCTTATACAGATCCAGGGAGATCCTTGCTCCAGCAATAGCTGAATATCCCTGCAGAAGCCAGCAGACTTCAGAAACATGCTCTTTTAATTCTTCTTTCTATTAAACCATCTCTTTGTGTTCATGTCTGGACTGCATCCCATGAGCTACAGTTCTACAAAACTCAGAAAATTTGGAATACAGAAAACTAAGGAAGGTATATGAAAGTTAAGCAGGGACAGATCTAGCATCAAACATCTCTGAAGTGACCAATACTGAAAGTGCTTACTGTAGTAGGAAGTGGATCTGTGCCTGTCCCCTCCATTATCCCTGGTGTTAAGGATGGGATAACCACCATCTAGTGGTACGCGAAGGCCATTTCACCTTCAAAACGTGCTTGGCTTTCCTGAGGAGCTTTTTTAAAGAAAAACTGAATTGATTTCAGCAACTTCCTCACCTTTTTCCAGGCTGAATTTAGATTTACAGAGTTCACAGATACAAACCAGGGAAACCACAGAGCCAGCAGAAACTGGTAAAAAATGAATGACAACAAATGACAGCACGCGTAGGCTTAAGGGCAAATGGAGCTTCTACTCTACCACTCCACACATGGAGTTTTTTCTTTAGTTACGCCGATGCATGTTCCTCAATGCTGAAGTCACAGCGGTAATAGATGGCCACCTTCCTGATACTCTCCGGTGTCTTTCAAATGTTTAGACTCCTCTAAGGGAAACCACTGTTTGTTTGCAGTTCGAGGAGTTCAAACACCTTGCTAAAATTTAATATTAGTAACAATGGAGATTAGCAATGACTGATTACATTGCTAACTATAGAAAATGCAGCAAGCGAGGCCTATGTTGGACCTGACAGCCACACTTTCATTTCTGTGTCCCATAAATTTAAGTCTGAGGCCTACAAACAAAAAGCATGTTAAGAAACACAGCCAATAATTTTTCTTTTTTTTTTTTTTGCTTTTACTTCTGCATAGCGTCTGCTAAAACAGAACTTTTCCTTCAAAACATCGTGCCGAATCTTTTAAAATACACTGCTAGTCTGCAGGTGCAACAAATTTACCTTCACGTATTAATTGGGTGTTTCTCTCTGCAAATGGCCAATTAAATGACTAATAAGCCATTTCCAGATATAAAAAACTAATTTGTGTGCGCAATCAAGCTAACTATGGGCCAAAATTAGGCACAGAGTTTTACAAATCTATTCCTTATTTTCTGCAGCTTACTTTACGTCCAACAGGAGTATCAGAAGACGTGATGCTCCTCATGCCCTCACTTGATGTGACTGGCCCAGATCAGGCGTAATTTCATATCTGAACACATGCTAACCTTCACACAGCTGGTGTTTTGTGTCATTTTTAATAGTCTTCTGTGGTCAACATGCTCTTGGCTGAAGAGCTTGATACGACACCTGTTTCTCCGTGCACATCTGTTTCTGCTATTCTACTATTCTACTATGCACTATTCTGTTTCTACTGCACATTTCAGAAATAATTTTTTGTTGTTTTCCACTAAGGAGGCCTCTGCCAGGAGAAAGCATATCTAGAAAAAGAAAAAAAAAAGTTTAATGTTTGGAACAGTACCTGCTCTGGTTTGATGGGCTCTGTCGTCGTGAAAATGTCAGAATAATGCTGCCTCTCGAAGACTCGATCCAACACTTCTAACTGCTGCTGGGTGAACAGGTCTCCACGCATCTGTTTCCGGAGAAAATCTCTACCCGGGAGAGAATGGCCATTGGGTACTGGAGGTTCCTGAATACCTTTCAAAGAGGACAAAGAAGACCGAAGAATAAATGGGCATTAAAATGATGAGTGTCTATTTTATCCATCGTATAGGTGGGTACTTCACTGCTTACACAATGAAGAATCATAGAGTACAGGAGCAAGACGCACACTGCTAGAAGATGCATTGATCATTCCTCCATTATAGCTGACTCTCAAAGCAATCATCTACCATCACTGACTCCACGTATAATTCAAAGGCATGACAAAGGGTAGCAGTCACACGTTTGTTCTCAGCGCTGCCATGCAATATTTGAGAACCTGTAATGGTCAAGCTGTAGTAAGACATGGGAAGATAAGTACAAAACCTGATGTTAGATCCACAGTCCACTTGGCCCAGCTCCAAGGAGGTCTGCTTTGTCTGTTCACTGTCATAGCTGTGCCTGTGACACCTGCCAGTCTTGCTGAGCTCCATTCTATGCAAAGGTTTGACTATCATGTGCTCACGTCAGGAAGCAAGGACTCATACTCCAGAGCCATGTTCAGCTTGCAGAAACTGGACAGTCAATTTTCCAAAGAGACACTAATAGCAGCACACAACCATTGGAGTTACCACTGCAACACTCTGAGGAAGCACTCTCCCAGCTCACAATACTACTTAGTTGTAATTTCACTTTACGTTTCTTAAACTGATCGGCATGATGAAAGCCAGGGCCCTAAGTCAAATTTTCTCGCTCTATCTCCCCCTCCTTCCAGCAGAGGTTGTTAACAGAAGTAGTAAGTGGCTGCTCATGGCTTAAAAAGCCATGAGACAAGTTCGAAAAATGTTTAGATAAGCAGTTAAAAAAAAACCTCCTGCAATATGGGAGCTTGATTCAGTTTGCTTTACTGAAAATTTGCAGTGGTTTCCTGTCTTTCCTTCATCTGTCAGTGCTAGAAATACATCTTTTACGTTCTGAAGGCAGAGATATGCAGTATTCCTAAGGACTCCAGGAGGTGGAACTCCAACAACAGCAGTGAACATCAGATTTTGACTCCAGATGGCAACACCACACTACACAGAGAAAGGAAACATTGGAAAAAAAAAAAAAAAAACACATTTGTTTGCTTGCAAAAACCAATGCTTAGATCTTCTTTGGTGGGTTCCTCATCACATTTTCTGATAGCAAGTATAAAATGGCATCTGTGCAAAAAGACCACGTTGCTGCCAACACTTCCATCTTCATACCTGAGCTGGCCATCAGTAACAACTGAAGTGCAGCAGACAAGATTTTCCAAAAAGAACAACTGTTTCAAGGTCACCTTTTAGCACAACTGAGTGCTGCAACAGATGCTGTGTACCATATCCAGAAAATCTGACTCTTTTAAGACAGGTCTCCAAAACTGAAGGAAGAATATATGGAAACACTTCTTGAAATCCAGATCAACCTCTATAAAATTTTCTTATGCTAAACAGGCATTTGAAATTAGCAAGTAATGCTGGAAGTGTTCTTCTAGATTTTCTTCTGATGGTTCAGGTAACAACAGTGTTATATTTACCTGCTTAAGTGAAGTCAGGCAACTTAAATCAAGAATAGGCAATGTTGGCATCTGTAAAGTGCCAGGATCAGTTTAAACCATGCAGAAAAAAAATAAGAGCCTGTCTTCTGAATAGAATGTATAAAGATTTATACGGAGCTACGAAAAAATATGAGCAGATATAAGAGAGCAGTGTATCTTTAAGTCTTGTTTTTTTTCCTTTGCTATTCTAAATCAAATAATATCTAATTGATGTAGTGCTGGGTTTAGTCAACCATCACTTATAAAATTAAAATTCTAGTTGCTAGCTGCTTGGTAGCAAAAGGCAGGGGGGACTTTCTCTCTGGAGCATGAAAACACAGGCTTTAAATTTCAAGTGGAATCGTAGAATGGCTTGGGCTAGAAGGGACCCCAAGGATCACCAAGTTCCAACCCCCTGCCACAATGATGTTATTCATAACTTGGCATCAAAGTTGAAAGTGTTTACAGTTTTGGCCCAAATTGGGCAATAAAAGAGAAGGAATGATCCAAGAGGTTAGTACTGCCTGGAAAACCTTCCCTGTGACTCTACCAGGGAGCATGCATCATCTCTAACAGTGTACACATCATCTATGCATCTAAACACGAGGTGTACAATGAGACCAGATTGCATTTGCATCCAGTGCAGCAGAGTCGTGTTTCACAAGCAGCCCTTGTTCCACAGTGTTTGCACAGAGCACAGCTCTGCTCTTTTTCCAACGAATACATTTGGAAGAGACGGACTGATGGACACAGCAATGGTAGGACAGGGCAGGCACTAGCAGGTCAGTCTCAGGGCACACTGCTGGGTGCTGTGCTGTCATCCCTGCCCCTAAGGCTTCTGATTCACAAGTATCTTGTGAAAAGTTTGGGAAGACACACTATCAAGTGCCAACATCTCTGATCTGGTCACACCCATCCCTATCTGCCCTTCCTCCCAGACCGCACAAGCAGGAGCCAGCCATGAAAGTTCAGGAAGGGAAGGACATTTCCAAGGAAGCTTCCCTGTGTGGGAAATCCACACATAAAGAACATACCAGACACACAGACACAGGCTCCTGAACGATGTGCCTCTCTGGCACAACACTGGCAACTTGTTAAGGTATGAAAATAAATAAGGGAATAGAGCTTTGGAAGGTTTTGAAATTCAAGATCGGGATTTGATACCCTGCTGGGAGTGCAGCCTGGAGAGGAAACCACAGGGAGCTGCCTCCTCCCTGCCCAAACACCACTGTGTGCTAAGGTCTCTGATGGCAACCCAAGGGTCTGGGGCCAGCTCAGCCTTCAGCCATGCTTCCCAACAAAGTCCACTATTGCTGAAATGAAGGAGCAATGCATACATACTCTGCTGTTAGGGAGAAAGCTGGGCAGAAAGGAGGCAGAGCTGAAACTCACGGAACAGCTGGCTGCTGCTCAGAAGATCCAACATTTGTGTCATGAGGCTTTGTCAGCTGCCCAAGAAAGCTGCTCACTTTCATAGAATTATAGAATCATAGAATCATAGAATCACAGGATGGCCTGGGTTGAAAAGGACCACAGCGATCATCTAGTTTCAACCCCCGTGCTGTGTGCAGGATCACCAACCACCAGACCAGGCTGCCCAGAGCCACATCCAGCCTGGAAATTTCTCTATTGCTCTCTTACCACATCCCTTCAGCAGAGGGGTTGTTCTCTCTCGCTGCGTTTCCCAAACTCTGACTAACTGCAGGCGACTGCCGGATCTCAGTTTACAAGGAAAGGACTTTCTGTATGCTGCATACGACATCTAAAAAGTTCACAAAGGTCTTTAGGATACGTTTGGCTTTTAGTCATTACGTAAATGTGAGATAATTACCATCAGCATTATGTACTGTTTGGATGCACTAGAACATCTTCGATAATTAAAATACCACAGGCTCATTTGTAACAGTTTCAGTTATAAAATGGGCTCCAGGGAGAAGTAAAACATTTTTCATACTCAGTGGATGCACCTAGGAGAGTTTTGTTCTGTTGACAGCAGCACTACATGTGTACCTATCTACTTGCAAAGCACTCACTTCCCTGTCCTATGGCATCTTTCCAAGATGGCCAATCATAGAATCACAGAATCACAGAACGGCCTGGGTTGCAAAGGCCCACAGCGCTCATAAAGTCCCAACCCCTTGCTGTGTGCAGAGTCACCAACCAGCAGCCCAGGCTGCCCTGAGCCACATCCAGCCTGGCCTTGAATGCCTGCAGGGATGGGGCATCCACAGCCTCCTTGGGCAACCTGTGCCGGTGCCTCACCACCCTCTGGGTGAAAAATGAATAACTAAGAGCACAGGTATCGTATTCTCCTTAGGAAAGAAGACTCTCACCCCAAACAAACGTTTTGTCCTTTACCAGACTATATTTATAGGTCAGAATTGTCCCACAGGATCACAGCTTTCTGAACAACCCTGGATGCTATGCTATGCACTTTCCACGACACCAAAAGCCCTTTCCCATGCTTAACAGAAGTCCTGTTAGTCTAGAAGGAGTTATGCACAGAACTGGTCCAGCCCTGGGAAGAGGTGCCACACATAGTGCTGCCAGCAAAATCTGCCTAACCTGTATGGATTTCACCTGGAAGCACAGGGTCTTTGTTACTACAGCTTTATTCCTGGGGACCTAGGAAATGACAAGATCAGTATAGAGAACCCGATAAGCTGTGACTGCATTTTGTAGCATAATTTTATGGTTAATTACCTTTCCTCAACACATTTTCTGAAACTGCAGGAGACATCCACAATTGCCAAACATGTCTACAACAGATTTTTTTCCCAATACTCACCATGCAAATCATTCATTTTTAAACAGTGTTTTGCTTATACAATTCTAGTACCATAGGTCAAAATAAGGAGAACAAATGGCTGTCAGCCCTATCTTCACAAAACACCACAGCACGTTTTGAGGCCCTACAGCTTAGCACTGAAAAAAAAGCAAAGTCTGAAGATATCTATTTAAAAGGAAAGAAAGAAAGAAAAAGATCCATTCTCTCTAGCATTATTTCACAGAGGGAAAACAGTACAATTTAATTTCTGTGTTATGAATCAATCCTGCAAAATAGCACTGGATAGACGAGCCCCACAGAAGAATCTAAGCCAGGTGACAGGAATTGGTGCCATGCACAACTTCAGCTGGGTATTTCCACTGTTATTAATCTTCACAATGCTCTGTGAATGGCACATGCTACTGGTATGCTTGCCTGGAGTGAAGAAAAGAGAATCTTCTGGTTTCGGGCTTTCAGGTTGTTTTATTTTTTAAACAACTTGGGTTTGCAGGGTTAATTAAGGAAGTAAATAGCTGGTGCAATGAATGGCCCATATTCATAAAGGACGTGGTTTCTGTCTCTAATTTGTACTGTCCAATTTCATTACTTGGTATCATACCTAATTACTCCACCTTATAGGGAAATGCAGGCTAATTAGGAAGGATGTTATTCACCACATTTAAAACACGATGAAGCAAATGAAATATTACCGGGAGGTAAAAAGGTGATTTGTTTCCTTGTAGCATGTCTGTAAATTAGCCCAGAGAAGATGAAGACTTTGTTTAATTACCACTCAGGGAGGCTTTGTTTAAAATGCAAACAGAATTTTTATGGCACCTTCTCAGGCCCATGTGCATTTGGCAGCAAGCGGTCTGCTGGCCTTCCTAGG